AGCCCCAATCTCAGTGCCTACAGCCGCTTTTGGCCTGGAGTTCAGGTTTAGGGTTTAGTGTTTGGGGTTGAGGGGCTTGGGGGGTTCGAGGGTGTAGGGCTGCTTGGGCTAGGCGCATTTAAGCCTTTATCTTGTTCCCCTCTATAATCCCTATCCGCCGACCCCAGCGGTAGCAGGGCGGCGTCAGTGAAGACCCCCCACCGCCCTCACCGCCCTCACCCGCTCTCACAGCATACTGCTCATGACACCTTGAATTGGAGTGTTTTTGCATTGTTTGGCTTCAGTGCATGCCCAAACCCCGCCACCCATCGCCCTCACTTGAATTGGACCTTTGTCCCCCCCCCCACCCCATCCATTCAGGTGGTTTAGCGCATGCCCGACCACCCCCCCCCCCAGTGCATGCCTCTAAATCAGCTGAATTTAGAAATCAGCTGAATTTAAAGGGCCCCAGTGCATGCCCGCCCCCTCCGCTTGCTCCGCCCTTCCCGCCCTTCCCGCCCGCACTTCCCTGTCCCCCCCATGCCCCTGGACCCTAGCAGCTGAATTTAAAGGCCCACCCCCCCCCCCCCCCCCCCCCCCACCCCCCACCCCCCCCCCCCCCCCCCCCCCCCACCCCCCCACCCACCCCCCCCCAACCCCCCCCCCACCCCTCCCCACCCTCCCCACCCCCCCCAACCCCCCCCCCCCCACCCCCCCACCCCCCCACCCCCCCCCAACCCCCCCCCACCCCCCCCCCCACCCCCCCCCCCCCCCACCCCCCCCACCCCCCCACCCCCCCACCCCCCCCCCCCCCCGCCCCTCACCAATCTCGACTGCCTCCCCCTCTCATCACTCCCCTGCCTTCCGCCCCCAACTCCCCCAACCCTCGACCGTCACCTCCCCTGTCCACCCGCGGCGCTCCACCCTGCCTTCCGCCCCACCTCTCACCAGAGCTGGTCAAATGAGTCAGGCCCCCCTAACCCTCCCACCAACCCTCCCCAGCCCTCATCATTACCCCCTCCCACCATCGTGCACCATCCGACGGCTCTCACTGCTTCTTCATCTCTATGCCCCCCAGTCCAACCCTGCCTTCCGCCCCCAACTCCCTAATCCGACACCAACCCTCTACCGTCACCCCCCACACCCCCCACCCCCGCCGCCCCGCTTTCCACCCCCACCCACCCCCACCCGAGCCGCCCCCGCCCCCCGCCCCTCCGCCCCAATGCGACTGTCTTGGGTCTGGGGTCGGCGGCACTGGCGGTAGCCATTAAATCGGGCAGCGCGAGGTCCCCAAAGGACCGAGCAAATGCGGACCTTTTAGCCCGGGTCGTCCCGGGAATAGCCTTGCTGGCCTCTGGCCTTCTGCGAAGCAGAATTAGGCCGGACGCCAGTGCCGCCGACCCCCGCGTGCCGCCGGTGAACGGTTTTTTTTTCGTGGTTTTTTGCGTCGCCACGGAGGCCCCCAGAGGGCGCGCATCATGAGCATCAGCGGGTCCAGCCCGGGACCCCCAGGCGCGCATCAGGAGCATCAGCGGCTCCCGGGGCGGGACCCCGGGGGCGCATCAGGAGCATGATGCCCCCCAAAGGGCGGGCATAAGCGACGTGTCTAAGCCCGGGGCTAGGAAAAAGGGAGTTTAGGGGCCTTATAAAGTGCTTAGAAACGTTAAGGGAGTCTAGGAGCCTCAAACGCTTAGAGATTTGAAGGGAGTTTAGGGGCCTGAGAAAATGCTTAGAAACTTAACGCTTAGAGATTTTAAGGGAGTTTAGGGGCCTCAACATGCTTAGAAACTGCTCGCCCCGGGCTTCTGCGTGCGCTGCCCGCCCATGGGCGCAGCCCCTTAAAATATATACCTTCTATAGTCCCTATATACCTAAGTAGCCCCCAAATAACCCCTAAACCCTAAAACCTAAACCCTAAACCTAAACCCCAAACCCTAAACCCTAAACCCTAAACCCTAAACCCCAAACCCTAAACCCTAAACGCCAAACCCTAAACCCTAAACCCTAAACCCCAAACCCTAAACCCTAAACCCTAAACCCTAAACCCTAAACCCCAAACCCTAAACCCTAAACCCTAAACCCTAACATCCCTTCTTTAGGTGCCTCCGGGCTGTGCGAGCTTGGTCGAAGAGGCCTATGGCGAGAAAGCGACCCACTTGGCTCCGCGGTTGCAGCGGTCTGTTCGCAGCTTAGGCTTTAGAGCCTTTAGGGGGCTTAGGTGGGGTTTAGGGTTTAGGGTTTAGGGTTTAGGGTTTAGGGTTTAGGGTTTAGGGTTTAGGGTTTAGGGCTTAGGGCTTAGGGTTTAGGGTTTAGGGTTTAGGGTTTACGGCTTGGGGATCCCCATCGCCGTGGCCCGTGTTCAGCAAAGTTAGTTGCAGGAGAATCAACAGGATTATCCCAGCCCATGTTGGTTTCTCTTCTGTCTCAGCCCTTAATCTGGTCCCTAACCTCCTTTAAAGGGTTCTGATGTAGGGGCCCTTGGGATTGTATAGCGTGTACAAGGGGTATATAAGGGGTCCCCGTTTAAGGACCCATACTAACTACCCTCAGACTTCTGCGTTCTCAGAGCCAGGGTCTTATCCTGTAGATGCATAGCTTCCCCTGTGAACTTTCTTATGACATATTTGCTTCTACAATTACAACCCGGGCAGAAACCTGACGTCTGTCTTTCTTGAGACCTTTGGAGTTTCTGTTCAGAGTTTTTGGGGGCTGTGAGGGTGTAAGGTTACCAGGTAGCTTTGATGTTTACCCTTATTGGGTTGAAGGGGGTCATCAGTAGGAACGTTGTTTCAGAGGGGTTCAAGGGCCCTCCTGGCAACCGTTCTAGCACTGCTTGGGAAGATCATATGACTGTTCCGAAAAGGGGGGGGGGGGGTGGGCTTTCCGCTTTGCTGGGATCTGGGATGATCTGGGTATCTGAAGGATTCTTTCTGCCCTTGGGATGTTTGATGTTCTCCCTTAATGGGTTGCTTTGTCATAGTCATAGTGTCATAGTGGGGTCCCCTAAACCCTAAACCCGAAACCCTAAACCCTAAGCCCTAAACCCTAAACGGGCAACTTTGTACATTTGCCAGGGGTACTTAAACTCAAGGATGGACATATTGCACTTTTAATATTATCCCAGCCATGAACTCGGTTGAAGAGGTTCTTGTCGGAGGGGTTTAAGGGTCATCCTGGTTTAGCACCCGTAAACCCTAGACCCTAAGTCCTAAGCCCTAAGCCCTAAGCCCTAAGCCCTAAACCCTAAACCCAAAACCCAAAACCCAAAACCCAAAACCCAAAACCCAAAACCCAAAACCCAAACCAACATCCTTTACAGCAACTCCCGCGCACGTCGAACCCACGCAAGCTGTCGGAGTCTTGCACTGAAAGATTGGACTCCCTTTTCCCGGATGTAGAACCCTAAACTACTATTAGCTTAAGGCCCCCCCGAACAAAAAACTCTTCCTTATACTGCCAATAATTATAGGGATAGGTTTTTGGGTTCTTAAGCAAATGGTAGTGAACCCTAAGCCACTTTTTTAAAGAGGCTCCCTCACCCCCTTCCCCAACCCCTACACTCTAAACCCACAAACAACCCAAACCGTAAAACTTTACGCCCTCAACCCACATAAACCCCGTAGAAGCCCCACAAACCCTAATCCTCGTAAGGCCTAACCCTTTGAACCCTAAATTCTAAACCCTGAACCCTAAACTCTTAAACTCCTAAACCCCACGCCTTACACCGACACCCCTAAATAAACCCTGAACTCCTAAACCTCTGAACGTGGGACATTCCCCCTTGCCAGTCCTTAATAGGGATTAGAATAGGAGGTACTATAATCCCTACAAAGGACTGTTAGTATAAGCGGGAACATCCCAACCCCACCCTAAACCCTGAACCCGAAACCCCAAACCCCTAAACCCTGAACTCCTAAACCTCTGAACCCTAAACCCTGAACTCCTAAACCTCTGAACCTTGAACCCTAAACCCTAAACCCTAAACTACCAAACTCCTAAACCCTACGCCCTAAACCCCCCTAAGCTCTGAACTCCTAAGCCCTAAACCCTTAAAACCATAAAGCCCTGAACCCTGAACTCCTAAACCTCCGAACCCTAAAGCTCAACTGCTCTGAGGCGGCCGAGTCCACGTCGGCGACCCTCAGACGCCGCGACTAAAACGATCGCCCGGGAGGGTGTTTAGGGTTTAGGGGTTAGGGATTAGGGTTGAGGGTTGAGGGTTTAGGCTTTTGGTGTCTAGGGTTTGGGGTTTCAGGGTTTAGGGGTTTGGGGGCTAGGGTTAGTTAGGGGTTTAGGCTTAGGGGAGGTTTAGGGTTTAGGGTTTTGGTGTTTGGAGTTTTCGGGTAGTTACATGGTCCCTTATTATGGAGGGTTTAGACCCTAAACCCTAAACCCTAAACCCTAAACCCTAAACCCTAAACCCTGAACTTCTATCAGTCTTAGAGTGCACGGTTTGGAGACAAGGATGTGTTCCGGAAGGCAGAGGTCATCTCACTCGCGCTCATGTGATGGCTCGTCGGCGTTGGGTTTAGGGTTTAGGGTTTAGGTTTAGTCTTTAGGGTTTAGGGTTTAGGTTTAGGGTTCTGGGGGTTCACAGCTGCGCCCAAACCGTAAAGCCCAAGCCATGTGGACCGGGAGTAGTAGATCCCAAGAACCAGGAGATTCAGAGTTTCGGGTTTACGTTTTAAGGTGCCATAGAGTATAGTTCTTGGGGACCTCCAAAGCCCCCCAAACTAAGCCTTGTAGGGCCTCAAGCTTGTAGCCCTAAATCCACCAAAACCTTTAAGCTTTATACTTCCCAGGCCGTCAGGATATGTTCTGTTTCCTTTATTTGGTTAGGAACGGTATAATGCTTCAGGAAGATATTTGTTCATTGCTTTGAGAGGCCTTCAGTGGCCATCCTACAATACGGTACTGAGTGCACAGAAGGGAAGGTGAACGAAAACCCATCTCCCAGCCTTTTTGGCTCACAAAGTCTTCGCCCCCCCTTCCCAGACCCCCTGCTGCCCACCCTGCCCGCCATGTGGGTCCTAGATGTGGTGGCGGTTAGTTTCGCCCTCTTCTTCCTGACGTCTCCACTGATCCAGGCCGCGGGCGTATTGGCAACGCCCGCCAAAGTGCGGAACGTGAATCCCGTGAATCTGCTCTGCTTCCTTGTGAACTCCGCCACCCAGGTTGGCTACGGCATCTTCCTGCCGGTGCCACCCATAATCCCCTGCAGTGTCTACGGCACGTTTGTTGGGCTCGTCAGTATCGCAACATGTTGGTGGTTTGCTCGCAAGGATCCGCATGCGGAGAGGTGGAACAAGCCGGCCTTTGTCGGCACATGTTTTGCCCTGATCTTGTCTGGGTCGATCATCGCCTATGCGGGGCTGGGGGGGGAGGGTGCCGCGGCTAGAGTTGGATATCTGGGCATGTACATGGGCATCATCATGTCTGCCGCGCCGCTCTCTGCCTTGCGGGAGGTTCTCCAAACCAAGTCCTCCAGCATCTTGCCGTTTACCCAGCTCTTGCTGGGCTTTCTGAACAGCCTCTGCTGGTTTGGTGTAGGCGTCACCCGGCGGGAGATTCCCATCTGGGTGTCCAATGCCCTGCAGATGCTGCTGTCTCTCGTCCAGTTGTGAGTCTTGGCGGTGCAGGAAGTACATGTTCTCAATACCAACCCATAAAAGGCCTTTGTGCCCCGGCTTTTTGCAGCTTACCTAAAAATTCTGATAAGGGGGTGCGGAACCATAACCCCAAGTGGGTCACTTGAAGCGTGTAATGGGTAGTTCTGGCTGTCAGCTACCTCAATTCAGGTAGCAATATACCCTTTTTGGGGTGTAGCCTATGTATCGGCACATCTCGGGGGAGGCAATTTTGCATTATGGGCCCCTGACCACCATGCGGAGTGCTTAGGGCTCAAGTGTTCATGATGTTTGCTGTAGGGTCCAGTGCTTTGAGTTAAAGGTTCTCCTCCCTTTGTGGTGCTTTACCGTAACTTTAGATCCTTAGAGCCTTTTTGGGAAATATTGGGCTTCTTAACAAGACAGCTAATTAGCTTTAAGTTATAGCTACCCTCCTCCCCTAAACCCTAAACCAACATCATATATAGTTATATTATAGCAAAAATCTATTAATCCTAAGTGCAGCCAAGTTCCGAACGACCCAGGCCTCATCTGGAAGTACCCAGCCAGGGCCTCCAGAACAGAGAAGGAATCCCAAGTGCAGACGGATGAGTCTGCTCTGACTCTCAGGAAGCCTCCGCCACTAGGCCGGGGCGCCTGGGTTAAGTAAGGGTGCAGGGTTCAGGGTTTAGGGTTTATAGGGTTGAAGGTTTAGGGGGGTTGTCCAATAATTATTTAGTGGGTTTGCGGGTGTGGGTGCGAGGGTGGCTTCGGGGGATTGGGGGAGGGACGGGGGGGTCGGGTCAGGGTTGCGGCTTCAGGATACGCATTTGCAAACACATCATTATCCTGGCCAACGGCAAAGTTCATAGCCACGGGTGTCTCCTACAACTGGGGTCGCCGCTAGGTGTCGGAATGCAAACCCCTTAATTCTTGGCGGCCTGCATATCGCACTCCCAGCAGCAGGACGACGCAGACGTCCGCACGCTCTACTGCGGCATCAACGAGGGCGAAGTGAAGGGTTCCAGGGAGATTGCACAGCAGTGGTCCCTTTGCGCAGCGCCAGAAGGCGTTTGCTGGCGTTTCTGGGGGTGGGTTGGGTGCAGGCGAAGACTTCATTGAAGAGTGTTCAGAATCCCAACATCCCGAACGGGAGAACTCTGAGTCCTGTGGCTATAAACCGGCCACGTGCGCTCTTCCATCCATGGATCCGTCCTGGCGTTTCCTGCCGACCTGGAGCGGCAAGGAGAGACTCGTTGAACATCTTCGTCAACTGGTGCATTCCTGGTGGTCGCTAGACTGGCTGGTTCTGAGTAGGGGCTGAGGGAGTGAGGGTACCCCTCAAAGGATGCAAAAAAGGGCCCCCTAATTCCCTCATTCCCTGCTAAGAACCAGCCAGAGAGGTGGGTTTTCCAGCGAGCAACTTTGCTTCGGTACTTGCAGTTGGCAGTTGCAGCACTCAGGGTCAGCTTGGGGTGCAACGAGCAGTGCTCCAGGAATACAGTACCTTTTGCTAGCGGATCCATGGAGACCAATTATAATACACAATAAAATTTGATGCCCCATTTTCCGCCGCAGATGAATTCGGTTGTTGACATGCGTGCTATGCGGCCGCAAGCAAGTGAGGAGACGAAAACCCATCTGTTCTGTTTCTTGAGCAAGCTGCACTACCCCAAACCCTACACAGGCCGTACCCCTGAACCCTAAGCCCGATCCACCCAAACCACCATGACTACCCTAAACCCTGTAGGGTTTAGGGTTTAGGGTTTAGGGTTTAGGGTTTGGGGTTTGGGGTTTGGGGTTTAGGGTTTAGGGTTCCCTAAACCCTTAATCCAAAACCCCAAGCCCTACTTGGACCCTGCTGTAAGCCCTCCCAGAAAGGTTCTTGGTCTAGGGCTTAGGGTTTGGGGTTATACCTTATACCCTATAAGCCCTAAGCCCTAAGCAACCCTAAACCCTAAACCCTAAACCCATGGCAGGTTCCACTACATCTTCTCGCTGCGCGACCTCAGCCGCGTGTTCCAAGGCATCTGCCAGGCGGACCCCCAGGCAAGCTCCCAGCTTCGTGCGGGTTTTTAGGGTTTTAGGGTTTAGGGTTTAGGGTTTGGGGTCCCCAAACCCCTAAATTTCTAAACCCCAAGACCCTATAAACCCTACACCCGAAACCCCTAAACCCTAAACACCTTCCTAAGCCCCAAAACTGCCCAACGAAGCCTAAATCCTTCTCTTGTGTGCCTGGAGTGTAGCATCTGATTCGAAACCTCAGGATAAATACCTTACTTTCTATCAACACTTCTTCCTTTGTTCACCCTGAAGGCGTGTCTTTGTCTTTTGCCCCTGCCTCCTTCGCACCCGCGTAGTCGTCGTGCTACAAGTCCCTTGCCTCAAGCACTGCAACACCTCGCCCCCGCCAATGGCAGCGGACACGGCTGCTAATGATTTCCACTGCCTAAACCCTAAACCCTAAGGCCTAAATGCTTGCACAGTGCTCAGCCCAGCCATCCCTCCTTCCTTGCCCTCCTCCCTCACTTTCCTTTTTTGTGGTCGCCCAGTGGTGCCCCTTTTGCCTTTTGTTTTTGGCTCAGGGTTCCCTTGTAAACTACCGCACCACGAGTCAAAATCTGGCGCTTTCCGCCTGCGATGTGTCCGGCACCGCCTTGCACGAACAGAGACTTCCCGAAAGAGTCCGAAACTTATGATCGCATCCTCGTCGATTTTCGAACTCAACTTTGGTTTTGCTCTACATACACGTACTGTATGCTCCTGAACCCTGAACCCTAAACCCTAAACCCTGAACTCTTACCCTAAGCTCGAGATCGTTTAGTTTTCGTGTTCACTCTTTGAGTTTCTGTTCATGTAGATGTAAAGCTTTACCGGCAAACCCCTGGCCCTGAACCCTAAACCCTAAACCCTAAACCCTAAACCCTAAACCCTAAACCCTAAACCCTAAACCCTAAACCCTAAACCCTAAACCCTGAACCCTAAGCCCTAAACCCTAAACCCTAAACCCTAAACCCTAAACCCTAAACCCTAGCCCTACAGATTCCTCTGTTGTACTCAAAAGGGTCCCGTACTACCGGGTGCCGGGTACACACTACTCAAGGAAGGAGCGCAAGCGTCGCTTTTGGGCACTGATCTACTGGTACCGGTTTCGTACCATCAGGCACTCATCAGCCATACAGCTGCGATAAGCAGCTGTAGATCAGTAACGTCCTGGACATGTGTGCTGCCACTTTTTATGTGCACGCACATAAAAAGCCCACCCAGCCCTCACCCCGGCACGAAATTGTACCGGTATGTTTGCCGGAAAAGACTGAAAGAACATTTCCAACTCTTACCCTAAGCTCGAGATCTTTTAGTTTTCGTGTTCACTCTTTGAGTTTCTGTTCATGTAGATGTTAAGCTTTACCGGCAAACCCCTGGCCCTGAACCCTAAACCCTAAACCCTAAGCCCTAAGCCCTAAGCCCTAAACCCTAAACCCTAAACCCTAAACCCTAAACCCTAAACCCTAAACCCTAAACCCTAAACCCTAAACCCTAAACCCTAAACCCTAAACCCTAGCCCTACAGATTCCTCTGTTCTACTCAAAAGGGTCCCGTACTACCGGGTGCCGGGTATGGAGCCACCTAAAGTAGCCTCGACCATGGCCAGGTGGTAAACAGCGCATCGGTGCTCATCAGGCCCATCTGGTTTTAGGGTTTAGGGTTTAGGGTTTAGGGTTTAGGGTTTAGGGTGTAGGGTTTAGGGTTTAGGGTTGAGGGTCTTTCTGTCTTTCTGTCGTTCTGTCTTTCTGTCTTTCTCTCTTTCTCTGTTTCTCTCCTTCTCTCTTTCTCTCCTTCTCTTTCTCTCTTTCTGACAGGGGTTTTTTCCAGAGTCCGAAGAGTTGAAGCATACACTTGAACGCGAAATCCCAAACGCCTAAACCTCAAACCTTCAAGCCTGCACCCGAAGCACGACACGAAACAGGCTCTGACCCTGCGAGCCCTGAGCGCCGAACCCTAAGCCCTAAACCCTAAACCCTAACCCTAAACCCTAAAGCCTAAACCCTAAATCCTAAGCCCTAAACCCTAAACCCTAAACCCTAAACCCTAAACCCTAAACCCTAAGCCCTAAGCCCTAAACCCTAAACCCTAAACCCTAAACCCTAATTCCTCACCAGACCCACTTCTTGTCGTGCGTGGGGCAGAGATTTGGTGAGCTGGAGCTGCCATTTGCTCTCTAAGCTTGTCCAGCTTTAAGGGGTATAAGGGACCCCGAAAAGGTACCCTTAATCTTATATAACCCTATATACATATATACCTTATATAGTCCCTAAATACCTAAGTAGCTCCCAAAAATGACCTCCAAGGTCCCTTGGCATGGGTCCCTCCTCTAGTCCCTTGAGAGTTTGGGGCTTGGGCCTCGGGCCCCTGACGTTGTACCTGTACCCTGGGTTTGGTTTAGAGGACTAAGGGAATAGAAGGGCCATATTAGGATAGATGAAGAGAAACCTGTATAAGGGTGCAACCTTAGGAGTATGAGTCTGGCCCCTTCAAGTTTAGGGTTTCGGGTTTAGGGGTTCTGGGCTTTGGGCTTAAGGGGTTACAGTTCGTGGAGTTTGTCTCAGACAGGGAGACTCCACTCCGCCGAAGAAGCTCTTCCACCCCATGAACCCGTACAGCCCTTCCCCAACTGCCCAAAGTAAGCGCTGTGAGTTTGGGACCCTCAAGGTTTAGGGTTTAGGGGTTTAGGGTTTAGGGTTTAGGGCTTAAAAAGCTGAAGCCTCAAACTAAGCCTCCCCAAGCTATCACCGTAGATTCCCTTACATCTGTTCCTTCTCTAGACCCTGAGCCCCAAACCCTGAACCCTAAACCCGCTAACCCTCTCAAGCCCCACTGATGAACCTGAAGAAATCAATAAAATCCTATATAAACCCTCAAAGGTTTCGGGCTTAGGGCCTGCGGCAGGTTGTGGCGAAACGAGTGCACGCGCGTCTATGAAGATCGCTTCAACGAAGATGCAGACAAGGCCCTGGGTTTTCAGTTTTTCGGAATTGTATGGTTTAGTTGTGTCTTTTTGACAATATGGGCCAGGGTCCAGTATAAGCTACAACCCCCGTTGAACAAATGCTATTTTTTGCGAGCAATGAACCCGAATCAATCTGCACCGCCCTCAGTCCCTCAAAATTTCTGAAAGCTCGTAATCCAGTTCCCCGCTACCTGGGACTCTAATTACCTATAATTTAGTAGGAACTACCCTTAATTAGTAGGCAGAACCCATAAAACTGTGGGTAAAGAGGGTCCCCGGTAAACCCCAGCACCATGCCAGTTCCTGCGGATCCTGCATCCACTCATGGCACACCGCGCGGGCTGCCGCTTCCTGTGCACGAGACTCCTGTTCCTAGTATAGGCTAGGCCCTAACACCTTCGACGTCAATGACCGACAGCCCTAAATCCTAAACACCAAACCCCAAACCCCAAACCCTCAACCCTCAACCCTCAACCCCAAACCCTAAACCCTAAACCCTAAACCCTACACCCTAAACCCTAAACCCACCTGAAGTTCTGAAGCCTAACGCTTGCTTGGAGGCTTTCTTGAGTGAGAAGCAGCTGCACAACATCGTCAAGACCCAGTTCCAGAAGAGCTCCGCGGCCGAAGCTCCTGGTTTTGGGGTTTTGGGGTTTAGGGTTTAGGGTTTAGGGTTTAGGGTTTAGGGTTTAGGGTTTAGGGTTTAGGGTTTAGGGTTTAGGGTTTAGGGGTGTATGAGGCCATGCAGGGGATGAGGGTATTTTGAGGGGGTCTTGTTAGGGCGTTTTTAGGGTTTTTTTTTGGGTGTCCTTTCTAGGGTATTCTTAGGGTATTCTTAGGGTATTCTTAGGGTATCTTAGGGTATCTTAGGGTATCTTAGGGTATCTTAGGGTATCTTAGGGTATCTTAGGGTATCTTAGGGTATCTTAGGGTATTTCGGGAGATTAGGGTACTCGGGTAGTAGAGTTTAGGGCCGCGGGTGCCGAATTTGTCAGGCAGCTTCAGCTTCGAGCCCCCTATCAGCCTAACCCCGGCATGTTTAGGGTTTAGGGTTTAGGGTTTAGGGGTTTAGGGTTTAGGGTTTGGGGTTTAGGGGTTTAGGGGTTTAGGGGTATAGGGGTTTAGGGGTTTAGGGGATTAGGCGTTTAGGGCTTAGGGAAACCCGACATGCAAATAGGTAGGTAGGTAGGCCCTTGGGGTGTTCCATATTCTTCCCTTGTTGGGTTTGCGAAAGTCACATCTGTTAGGTAGGCCCTGGGGATGTTCTGTGTCCTTCCCTTATTGGATTTAAGAAGGTCATGTCTAGGAGTATGTTTCAGAGGGCTGTAAGGGCCATACAAGGCAATAAGGGTTTAGGGTTTAGGGTTTAGGGTTTAGGGTTCAGGGTTCAGGGTTCAGGGTTTAGGGAATAGCCTGAACCCTGAACCCAGGTTCCGAAGCTGCGCTGGCGGATCCTCTGGCGCCCTGGACGACTCTAAGCTTCCTAAATCCTAAATCCGCAATGCTAAACCTAAACCCCTAAACTTTAAACCCTACACTTCCTAAACCCTAAATCCTAAATCCTCGACGCAAAACCCTAAATCCCTAAAATTTAAACCCTAGACTCGAACCTTACTCGTTATGGCGTGGTGGGTAATCTTATGTCAGCTGCAATAGTGTTGTATGGTATAGTAACTGTGGCATACAACTATCATTGAGTAACAGGAAGGCACTTCTTTGTTTTGGGTAAAGCGTTTAGGGTTGCGGACATAATGAAAAGTATGTTTGAGCGTTAGGCCCGTGTTACCTCGTTTCGGTTGGTGTGTGTACGTTCCCTTATCGGCCCCTGAAACCCAGAAGGGTACCCTGTTTATTCCTAGATAACTATTGGTTCCCCTATGCCCTAAACCCCAACCTAAACCTAAACCCGAAACCCTAAACCCGAAACCCTAAACCCTAAACCCTAAACCCTAACCCCTGGATGAACTCGAAGGGCTCTTGTTCTTTGAAGCAGGAGACCCCAGTCCGAGACTCTCGGGGCGTCAAACCCAAGCCTTTCAACCTGCAGTCCGCTCAGTTTAGGGTTTAGGGTTTAGGGTTTAGGGTTTAGGGTGTAGGGTTTAGGGTTTAGGGTTTAGGGTTTAGGGTCTAGGGTTTAATTCAGTTTGAAGGACCCTAAACGGGGTTGTAAGGAGTAAGTCCCTTAAGGCCCTTAACTATAGCCTATCACAGTAAGTGGGACTTCTCCTGGCCGATTCTCCAACCACCTTATGTTAGGGGCGGAGCCTCCCCTCCACGAATCCCATTTGCATCTCAAGTCCTCCTTGTAGCGACGAAGAGCCAGCAAGTAAGCCTGCCCTGGAGAAACACAACTCAGGTATGGGGCGATTTCCGTGATGCTTTGGACATCCTTGCCGGGCGCCCAACACCGAAACCCCGGGCAGAGTATGCCAAGTATGCCCAAGACTAGAACTGCAACCCTGTCTAGCACTGAACCCTAACCCCTAAACCCCAAAAAACACGAGCTTTTATTCCCCCCTTTTGCCCTATAAGGCTTTTAAGCAGCATCGATGCCTCCAACCCTAACCACTAAAGCCTAAACTCTGAACCCTAAACCCTAAACCCTAAACCCTGAACCCTGAACCCTGAACCCTAAACCCTAAACCCTAAACCCTCCCCGTCGTGTCTACCTGCAGGGCCGGGACGAGCTGCGAGACTTGCGGCCATGTCTTCCAGACTCGGAAAGAAGTCTTCCCCAACACCCGAAACCCGAAACCCTAAACCCTAAACCCTAAACCCTAAACCCTAAACCCTAAACCCTAAACCCTAAACCCTAAACCCTAAACCCTAAACCCTAAACCCTAAACCCTAAACCCTAAACCCTAAACCCTAAACCCTAAACCCTAAACCCTACCCCAAGACACCGGACTGCGGAAGCCAGGTTGCAGAGTGTGCTGCTGTTCTTTGCCCGAGGTCAAGAGTGACACTCCCTACTCCGCGCCGCGGGTGTATGAGGACCCGATCAGAGGCTGTATTCCTTGTCCCTACACCCTAAACCCTAAACCCTCAGTACTTTTGGATCCCTGAGCCCTAATGAGACCCCCCCCCCCCCCCCAATCAGACAAGCCGAAAGGGGCAGAGATTTCAAAGGCGTGTGTATCTCCACACCGACATGGACGATGATAAATTTCAGCGATCAGGCCTAAACCCTAAACCCTAAACCCTAAACCCTAAACCCTAAACCCTAAACCCTAAACCCTAAACCCTAAACCCTAAACCCTAAACCCTAAACTCGTGAGACTTTGGTGCATGTCTTATATCTGTTGAGGGTCCAAACAGCCTGTCTTCGTGGCGGGCCTCGGGAACCCTAAATCCGAAATGGACGTGCGCAGAAGCTTCGCAGACCACAGCCATTAGGCTCGAAATACCCCCCCCCCCCCCCAAACCCTCAACCTAAACCCTACCCCCCCCCGAAAAAAAAACAAAAATAATAATAGTAAACAGAACAACAACTGGAAACAGAAAGGGTATACCTCATGGGTCCCCAGAGTTCGAGCCTTGGGGTCTTGGCAGTTGCATCAGCCGGCAATCCCGTCTTTTGGAGTTTAGGGTTTAGGGTTTAGGGTTCAGGGTTTAGGGTTTAGGGTTATTTAGGGTTAAGGGTTTAGGGTTTAGGGCTTCGAATCAACAAAACACATCATGCCCTGAACCCGTTTAGGGTTTCGGGTTTAGGGTGTAGTTTTAGTGTTTGGGGTTCAACCCAAGCGGTCAGGCACCGAGTCCCCTGCGTTAAACCCTAAACCCTAAACCCTAAACCGCGTAGTAGAGAAGCCGCCATGGCGTCCCATCTTCTGATGCCTCGCACGCTTGAACGCCACCAAGCTCCACTAGGTTGAGGGTTACCAAGAGACCCCCCCCCCCCAAGCTGCTAGTGTGATGATTAGGGTTCAGTTTTTTGGTTTAACTTTTATGGGCTTTTTGGGTTTAGGGATTTCGAGGTTGTAGGGTTTAGGGTCTAGGGTTAAGCGTTTAGGGTTCAGGGTTTAGGGTTTAGGGATATTACTTATTTTCCCTTGTTTGGGGCTTCCTTCTTCTTGGGGTGGTCGGATTAAGGGTCCCTGCGAAAGATCCTTGGCTTCGACTTCGCAGCGAGGGCGCAGCACAACACGTTCGCGCTAGGGTGGGTTCAGGGTTTAGGGTTTTGGGTTTAGGGTTTAGGGTTTAGGGTTAGCGTGTAGGGTTTAGGGTTTGCTCTCCGCCTTTGCGGGTTTGGTACCGCTATAAAGTTGGTGCCTCCCGTAGCCATCTTCTCCTCAAGACTCATGTTTAGTGAGTTTGGTGTTTTGTTGGCTATTGTTACCACCAAGGGACCATTCCAAAGACTCTTTATGATGATGCAGTGTCCCTGGAATGATGGGGAGGGAGCCTTGGGAAGTAGGGGGGGGGGGGGGGGGGGGGGGGGGGGGGGAAGAGGAGGAGGATTGTGGGACCTTGGGTTGCATACCCCCCTTGAAACCCTTTTCCTTCAGGCACCCTATAACTATAGTCCCTTCCCCCGAATCTTAACCCCCCCCCCCCTCCCTGATTTTGAATCCTCCCTGTATCGTGCTATTCTAGCATATGTGGGGTCTATAATATTAGGGGGGTAGGGGGCGGTTTAGTATTACCCTAAACCCTAAACCCTAAACCCTAAACCCTAAACCCTAAACCCTAAACCCTAAACCCTAAACCCTAAACCCTAAACCCTAAACCCTAAACCCTAAACCCTAAACCCTAAACCCTAAACCCTAAACCCTAAACCCTAAACCCTAAACCCTAAAACCCTAAAACCCTAAAACCCTAAACCCTAACCCTAAACCCTAAACCCTAAACCCTAAACCCTATACCCTATACCCTATACCCTAAACCCTAAACCCTAAACCCTAAACCCTAAACCCGGGATTCTAACGCACCGCTCCGAAATCCAGGTACTGAGTTTCTGGGAGGTGTCTTCCGGCACTTGGCCGTAGAGTATGGCGAGTCCACTCCCATTGACAGCGCTGCGATCAAAGCGCCTCGGACAGGTTTAGGGTTTAGGGTGTAGGGTTTAGGGTTTAGGGTTTAGGGTGTGGGGTTTAGGGTTTAGGGTTTAGGGTTCAGGCTTCAAAGGATGCAAGGTCAGGACTTGCAGCTTCACTACAGGGACCTCCCGAGCTATCTGTCACACATTAAGTTAGCCACACCCTAAACCCTAATCCCCGAACCCTAAGCCCTAAACCTTAAACCCTAAACCCTAAACCCGAAACCCTAGCCCTAAACCCTAAACCCTAAACCCGAGATTGCTGACGTAGGGGTCACATCCGCAGATCCTGGCACTCCACACCCTGAACTCCATTCAAACCCCTTGTGAACCCCAAACCCTAACCCCTTAAGCCTCAGGTTTAGGGTTTAGGGTTTCGGGTTTAGGGTTTAGGGTTTAATTAGGGTTTAGGGTTTAGGGTTTCGCCCTAAAGCAAGAAAACAGCGGGAAGGATTGCGATCCGGCGGCGCACAACTTGACTGAGTCGCAGGCCTACGACTGGGCCTGCCCAATCCACTGTGCGGGAGGTACCTTGGAAAGCAAAAATGGACTCTTGGCGTCGGGTTTAGGGTTTAGGGTTTAGGGTTTAGGGTTTAGCGTGAGGGTTTCTAGGATTTTGGGGTTTAGCGGGTTTAGAGCTTGGGCCATTTTTGTGTTTTTTTAGTTTTCGCAAGGTTTTTTCCCAGGGTTTTTAGGGTTTTGAGGTGTGTTTTTTTAGTTTTCGCAAGGTTTTTTTTTTTTGTTCCAGGGTTTTTAGGGTTTTGAGGGTTTGCAGGGTTTAGGGTTTGTAAGGTGTCTAGTTTAGGGGTTAAAGAGGTTGAGGGGTTGGGTTTCCACTTCTTTGGGAATAATGGTTCGGGGGATTGGGGTGTTTAGGGCTTTTAGGGTCCGGAAATGTGATCATGTTACCACAAGCCCCCGCGACGAATTATAATCCCAACACCCTATACCTTACAAC